CTGGCAAAATGAAACACCTCACCCTCGTGGTTTCCTGGGGAGAGCAATTAATGGTCCAAGAAAACCCGCTCCCCCCGCTCCCTTTAAGGCTGACAAGGTTTGGGAGTAAGGTTTTGGGGCTTCCTGGAGGGACGCCCCCTAAAAACTTGAGGTCTGGATGAAGGGACTTGAGGCTTGAGGAGTGTCATGGATTTGACCTGCTTTGGACAGACATATTTTGCTTGGTGGCCCAGATTTTTTTGTAGAAACCAGGAATGTTTGGGGGCAAGCTTGCTGGAGATGTTCAAAGAGGAGCCCCGGGCTGCAGAGCACAGGGTGAGAATCAGCTTGTTGACCGCGAAAAGTCGAAAAATCGCGAAAACGTGCAAAATTCCCGAAAACTCTAAAAGTCGCGTGAAAGGTTGCGAACATCCGAAAGCAAACAACAAAATACATTAGAAAATTCCCGAAAACTCAAAAAGTCCCGTGAAAGGTTGCGAAAATCCGACAAAATACATTCGAACATTCCCGAAAACTCGAAAAGTCGCGTGAAAGGTTGCGAACATCTGAAAACAAATAACAAAATACATTAGAAGGAAACCAGTGACCAGGGCCGTTCAACAACACAAAAACGACACATTGCAGGTTACCAGCATCGAAAAGCAAGCATCGCGCCCTCCAGCTGTATCGAACAATATTATTATTGGAAATTATTTCCCAGAACGTCCGGGAACCAGTTGATGAGGAACCAGCTTAGTTCCCCTAGTATATCATGGAAAATCAAGAAGTGTATTATTTGGAGGGAATCCCGTAATTTGCCGCGGTGTTCCGGAGGAACTGCTAGTTTGAACAGTTTTGGAATTTCGAACGAATTCTTGTAGAATTGCCAGCGGCTCCCAGTTTGCTTCAGTTGGTTGATGGAATTGCTACATAATTGCGAGGGCATACGAGGGCATACCCTTGGATAAGAGCCGGAAAGCAGCATAACCTGCAGCAAATGCCCTGGATGCCTTGATAGAGCTGGAAAGAGGCACGTGACAGTTTATGCTTTGGGCAGCCTCTGCAAACTTGCAGTGGGATACCCCTCTGAAAGCCTGCAAAAGTACCAGGGCTGCTCAATGCAAAAGCTAGGCCTGTTTGAGAGAATGCCTGCACTATTCTGATTGTTGCTATTGAAGAGCCCGGAATCTAGATAATGTGTGTTTCTCGAGAATGACTGCAACGAAAAGACGACTCTTAGATAGCAGTTGTTCATGGAAAAGGCCTACGTACAGCGATTGTCCCTAGCTAGGGTAAACTTGCGTCAGGATTGCGCAACTGAGGGGGTAGCCCTGGAACAGCCTTGGACACTGGAATGATGCTGGGAAATGCCGAGCAAAAAAAAAGAACATGTATTTCGACAATGCTCCTGCACATTTGCTGGGGGAGCATCATGGAAGCCAAACATTTGATTGACATAATGAATGTAGAATTGACGAGACTTCACATTGGCAGCATTTCTTTGCGGATGTGTTTAGGAATATTGAACCGAGTTGGATTTTTTTTTTTTGGGTGTCCCTATCGAAATGCAAGATACCTTTGAGAGATTGCACGCACAGAAATACCCGTTGAAAAGATTTGGGTTTGGAAAGACATCGCTTAAAGCATGCTAGAAGGTAAACCTAGCGGGGTTGGACAAACACCCTGCAAACTTGCTAAAATTGGTAGCGTGGCACATGCAAGTGTGAAATGAAGGATCCAAATAGATGCCAAACATTGCAGGAGAAAGACAATTAAGGTTCGGCCGACCTTTCAAGTTGACCAGGGCCAAGATCTATCAGAATAAAGTGTCTCAGATTCTTGGAGATCTTGAAGCCTAGAAAAAAGTTCGAGCCAATGCTTTACAGCTGTTATTTCTCGATCTCGACCTAGAACATTGAGTCTTGGATCTTGGACAACTCTAGCTCTGGCCAAAACTTTAAAATTCGCTCCGTCGATCTGCAAAAACCTATCTTCAGGAGTCTTGGATGTTGGGAATCTTGAACTTTGCAAATCAAATGTCGGAGGAAATTCAACACAAGATGGAAAGTTGATGGCAGGAAATGTAGCGTAAATAACTGTGACTTTGACAACTTTGGGTGCCATATATGTAATGTAATGTAATGTAATGAAGTGAAATGAAATGAAATGTAATGTAACGTAACGTAATGTAGTCAATGCCATGCAATGTAGTGTCATGTAGTGTAGTGTAGTGTAATGTATGTAATGTATGCAATGTGATGTATTGTGATGTAATGTGATGCAATGTGATGCAATGTGATGTAATGTAATGCGATACAATATGATATAATGTAATGCAATGTAATGTAATGTAATGCAATGTAATGTACTGTAATGTATGTGTGTACCTATGCACATATGTATGAAAATGATGTATGTATGTGTGCATGCATGCGTGTATGTAATGTATGTACGTGTGTGCAATGTACTGTAATGTGTGTGCAATGTAATGTAATGTAATGTAATGTAATGTAATGTAATGTAATGTAATGTAATGTAATGTAATGTAATGTAATGTAATGTAATGTAAGGGTAAGGCAAGGCAATGAAATGAATGGTATGTTATGTATGTACGTGTGCATGCACGTACGTATGTCTGTATGGTATGTATGATATGTTATGTTGCGTTATGTTGTGAAGGCGAATCACGTAGTTATTTAGTTGAAGGCGACTCGCATAGTTGTGAAGTCGGAGAGCCGAAATAGAACGACGACAGCCGACAAACACTCAAAACACAGATTCGGCAAGATGCCAAAACCGCCAAACAAGCCGAAAAGTCGAAAAGCATAAAACCACACCAAACAACGGAAAAATGCAATTGCAAGAGCAGTCGTAGAGTTGAAAGTCACAAAGTCGAACAGTCCATACATTGCTCAAAGTCGCGGAAAGCAGAAATGTCGAAAGCTGGAAAAGTCGAAAAGCCGGAAATAAAAAGAAGTCCCGAATGGTCGAAAGTCGAAAAGTCGCGAAAAGTCAACAAATTGCGAATAGTCGAACAGTCGCAAAAAGTCGAAAAGTCGTGAAAAGACGAAAGTGGTGCAAAGTCGAAAACTGTTTGGCTTCTTATATTTTTCAAGTATGCACCGTTCTCATCGGGGACCATCCGCAAGGACTTAGTAATCCCGGGGGGGGTCGGGGGAGGGCACAAGCATTCTTGGGGAGGGTTTTTTGGGGACACGGGGACACCTTGTTGGTCCTTTTGCTTAGTATTGGTGGGAACCTGGGGGGGAAAGAGGACACCTTCCATCCGGGGGTTGACAAATTGTTCCCTGACAGTCCGTTTGATCCAGGTCCAAACTTGTCGTTTGCCACTCAGATTTGGCCTTCCCAAATGAAAAGTCCAGGTCATCTCCAGGGGCGGATTTGGAGGATTGCCTTCATTACCAGGGGAGGTAATCACAGATCCACCGGGGTACTTTAGCTGAACAGCAGAGGTGACTGGCCAGAAAAACTGAAAGAACAAACATTCGGTCCACAGACACGAAAAACCGACAACAAGTCTTTCAGGTGTTGAACTTGAGCACGTAATTTGAAGCTTTTGCTGAACACTCCCCCCCCCCCACAGCCAGGTAAAGAACAGTTTTTGCAGAAGAAACAAACTACTCTGGACCCCAGCCCCCCAACCCCCCCCATTAAAGCCCCCTCCCGTGGTAGGGAAATTTGCGCCAATGTGGCGCGCGTCCTCCCGAAATGAATGAAAGGAAAGGAAAGAACTGGACGGATACAGAAAAGAACTAGAAGGAACTGAAAAGGAAATATATAATGATGATGAGAATGAGGATGATGAGAAAGAAAATGACCAGGATGATGAAAATAATGATGAGCACGATGATGAAAATGATAATGATGAGAAAGACGATGACCAGGATGATGAATATAATGATGAGCACGATGATGAAAATGATGATGATGATGATGATGATGATGATGATGATGATGATGATCATGATGATGATGATGATGTGATGATGATGATGATGATGATGATGATGATGATGATGATGAAAATAATGATAAGCACGATGATGAAAAATGATGATGATGATGATGAAAATAATGATGAGCACGATGATGAACATCATGATGAAAATAAACTCTAACTACTGGGAGGCTCAACCCGGTAGGAAGTCGACCGAGCCAGCATCATTTTCATCATCACATTCATCATCATTGTCAACATCATCATGTTCATCATCATGATTGTCATCATGATGTTCATCATCATGCTCATCATCATTTTCATCCTCATGGTCATCATCATGTTCATCAGCATGTTCATTATCATCAACATCATCATGTTCATCATCATGTTCATCGTCATTTTCATCATTATGTTCATCATCATTTTCCTCATCATTTTCATCATCATCATCATCATCATCATCATCATCATCATCATCATCATCATCATCATCATGTGCATTGTCATCATCATGGTCATCGTGTGTCGTCATCAGCATTTTCATCATCATTGTCATCATCATTCTCATCACCATTCTCATCATCAGCAGCAGCAGTATCATCATCATCGTCAGCACCATCATAATCATAATATTAATCATCGTCATAATAATAATCATCATCTTTTTCATCAACCAGGTAGGAAGCCGACCGAGGTCTTTTGGAAATCACTATTTTACAAATTATCCTAATGATGCTAATTAATTAGGATAATCATGATATTTAGGATAATTAAAACAATTAGGAGAAGTATGTTTTCCAAAAGACCTCCGAGATGCACGGCCTAAGCTCTAACTACTGGGAGGCGCAACCGGGTAGGAAGTCGACCGAGTCAGCATCATGGTTATCATCATTTTCATCATTATCATCATCATTTTCGTCAGCATTATCAACATCGACACGATGATCATGTTCCTCATCATGTTCATCATTATTTTCATCCTCATGGTCATCATCATTTCATCATCATTATCAACATCGTCATGGGTTCCATAATTTCATCATCATGTTCATCATTATTCTAATCATTATCATCATCATCATCGTTATCATCATGTTCATCAGCATTCTCATCACCAGGTAGGAAGTCGACCGAGGTCTTTTGAAACACATTGTTTTCCTAGTTATCCTGATTATCCTAGTTATCCTAAATAATTAGGATAATTTGCTAATTCCGGCATGCAATTATCCTAATTATCCTAATTATCCTTATTAACTAGGATAATTAGGATGTTTAGGATAATTAGGATAATTAGGAAAAATATGTTTTCCAGAAGGCCTCGGAGATGCACGGCCTAAGCTCTATCTACTGGGAGGCTCAACCTGGTAGGAAGTCGACCGAGTAAGCACGATTTGCGTCACATGTTCATCATTATTATTATAATCCTTCTCATCATATTTCTCATCATTGTTGTCATCATCATGCTCATCATTATTATCATCATCATGCTCATCTTCGTGCTTATCATCATCATGATCATCAACATGTTTCATCATCATTATGTAATAAATAATTATCATTGCCATGTTCATCATCATGTTCATCATCACATGTGTATCATCATTCTCAGCATCATTTGTTTCATCATCATTATGTTCATCATTATGTATCCCAATCATCCAGGTAGGAAATTATGATTAAAAAACCAAAACACGTGATGACGAAAATGATGATGATGATGATGATGATGATGATGATGATGATGATGATACGAGCAATGCGGATAAGAATGATGATGAGCACGATGAAAATGATGATGATGATGATGAGGAGGATGATGATGATGATGATGATGCTTACGATGCTTATGACGAACATGATAATGAAGATGAGGATGAACATGATGATGAGCACGATCAACATGATGATGATGATGATGATGATGATGATGATGATGCTTGAGATGCTTATGATGAACATGATGATGAAGATAATGATGAAGATGAGGATGAACATGATGATGAGCACGATCAAAATGATGATGATGATGATGATGATGATGATGATGATGATGATGATGATGATGATGATGCTTAAGATGCTTAAGATGCTTATGACGACCATGATAATGAAGACGAGGATGAACATGATGATGAGCACGATGAAAATGATGATGATGATGATGATAATGATGCTTGAGATGCTTATGATGAACATGATGATGAAGATGAGGATGAAGATGAGGATGAACATGATGATGAGCACGATCAAAATGATGATGATGATGATGATGAGGATGAGGATGATGATGATGATGATGATGATGATGCTTAAGATGCTTATGTTGAACATGATGATGAAGATGAGGATGAACATGATGATGAGCACGATGAAAATGATGATGATGACGATGATTATGATGATGCTTGAGATGCTTATGATGAACATGATGATGAAGATGAGGATGAAGATGAGGATGAACATGATGATGATCACGATCAAAATGATGATGATGATGATGATGATGATGATGATGATGATGATGATGATGATGATGATGATGATGATGATGATGCTTAAGATGCTTATGTTGAACATGATGATGAAGATGAGGATGAAAATGATGATGAGCACGATGAAAATGATGCACATTATTTTCCCTCGTTCGACTTTCTACCTGGTTGAGCCTGCCAGTAGTCAGAGTTTAGGCCATCCACCTCCAAGGTCTTTTGGAAACAATTTTCTGAATTATCCTAATATGTTAAATGTCCTAATTCTCCAAATAAGTAGATAATTGTGATACTTAGGACAAATTACTAGCTCGAATATGCAAAACATCCCAAGTAATTAGTGCGATTCTCGTAATAATCTAGGATAATTAGGAAATTAGTATTTGTATTTATCGTAATTATCCTAATCAATTGGACAGTTCTGTTTACCTAATTGTCCTAACAAAGGTACTCGCCACATAGGGCAGCACTACCCTCATACCCCCACCCCCCCCCCCGCCCCAGACCCCAGCCCCCGCCCTTTTCTTGGCTCAGAAGCGCACGGCCCGAAGCTTGAATTCGTACGGCACGACTTCCCTCCGCGAGGGCCAGCTGCCGCAACTGCGCCCCCGGCACGTGCCCGATCACGTCGAGGTCCCCCCCGTAGAGGACGTCGCCCCATTTCACCACAGCGCCGTCCTGGAGTCGTAGGCCCGGACAAGTATACCTAGATAGCCAAGTTGCTGCTTTGTTCGGTCTCTGTTGCTGGTTTTTGTGGAAAGTGCATGGCAAAAAACAGCAACTGGCGATCCAGGTAAATCTATTAACAAGGAACACATTGGAACGAAGAGCAGAAACCAGAAGCCAGAAAAGAAGACCTTTAGGGCTTTGAGTCCAAAACACAATTATTGACAAATATGGCCAAAACCGGTGGACACCAACATCTCTTGGGTCCTCCCTGATGGCGCTGAAGGCCCGGGCACTCGCCGCGATCTGCGCCGCCTTCGTCACAGGCGCCCAGCAGTTGTTCGTTTTAGCCGCCTTGTCCCCCCAGGTCACCACCGGCCCCCCTGGCACGAACAAAGCGAAGGCCTCAGGCAACGTCTGGGATTTCTGTATCAAAATTTGAAGGCACTCAAGCAGAACATGGCTCCTATTGTCCATTTCGATGACCCTTAAACTAAGCTGAAAGGGTACCCTCAACACAGCGAACACAAACTCACCCCCCGCAGTGTATCCCGACTCGGCGACAGATTGGTAGCCAGGACCTAAACGGGAAACGCGTCCCCTTTCCCTACAGAATCTTTCCTCATCCACAAAGGGATGACGGATGGGGACAGGTCGCTCACGCTTTCCAAAAATATCAGGGCTGGAGACGTGTGAAAAGAAGGCGGAACTCCATCAAACTTGGTGAGCCACTTAGCCAATCAACTTTAACCATCTTCAACCATGGGCTCCCCTCAACCCCCACACACATTTCCCAGGGTGAAGATGCTGCACTTCCAAGTAGCAGAACAGTTTGCCGATTCGAAAAACATGCTTTCTCGAGTATGGAGCAAGTCAGAAGTTTCTTAACTAGAGTAACAAACCCTTTGAGTGAAACTCAGTGACAGTGCGCCGGCCGCTCCAGGGCCGGGAACGCTTGCGCGCTTCTGTCCTGTCAAGACGCTTCAGCGCGCGAAGACGCGTCAAGTTCAGCGCTGCGCGGGGGCGTCAAGCTCAAACTCAAAACGTTCGGCCGTCCTCCGCGGTCGGCGGCTCGCAGCGCCTCAAGCGGGACGTCTTCATCGCCTTTGCTCGGGAAGAGCGTGCTTTTGCATAGAGCTTCGTAGTGTTCTTGCGCAGAGGTTCAACCTGTAAGGCCGTGGCTGAGGTCTACAACCTGCCCCGGGCTCGCGCGCTTCTGTCCTGTCAAGACGCTTCAGCGCGCGACAACGTGCCGAGCTTTGCGTTTAGCACGCCTCTGTTGCCTCTCCCGCTTGCGGTTTGCAGCGCTTCGAGCGGGCAGTCATCCTCGCCTTCGCGCGCGGCAGTGCTTTTGCGTCGCCTTTCAAGTGTAAGGCCGCTGCTGAGCTGCGTGGCGGGCTGGCGCATGTGTCCTGCCGAGGCGCTGGTGCGCAGCGGGGCGTTTCCCTCACCTTTGCGCAGGAAGCAGACACAGCGTGCTTTTGCTAGTGTTTCGCGTGTTTAAGGCCGCCGCCGAGGACTGCAGACGGGGTAAGCTTCCGCTTGGCGTTCCCGCGCCTGCGTCCTGACGCAACGATGTGCGAGGCCGAGCTCAAGTTCACAGCGCCTGGACGTCCTCCGCAGCTAGCGGCCCCCAGTGCGTTGAGCGGGCAGTCGTCCTCACCTTTGCGTGCGTCACAGGAGCTGTGCGCGCGCGCCATGTTGTCTTATGCGAGGCCGCGGCTGAGGTTCGCGGACCCGGGCGCGCCAACTGTGTGCTTCCGCTCGGCCGGCGCCCGCTTGGGTCCTGTCGGAAAGGTTGGGCGAGGCCGGGCGCGCAGAGGCGCCGAGCTGGAGCTTCAAAGTGCTCGGCCCTTGCCTGCGCCGGCCAGCAGCGCGTCGAGCGGAAGGCGGTCTTCGTCGTCGCCTGCGCGCGCTGAGCGCGAAGCGAGCTTCTTGCTTGCGGGCTAATGCCCCGACCGAGCTTGTGTCTGAGCCCGGCGCTCTTCACTTCCTCGCGCAGCTCGGTGTTGCCTTTGGAAGCGCGCGGGTCTGCGGCGCCCGGAGCCAGGTTGGTCGAGGGCCGGGCCCGGTTTGTTTTCTGCGGCCCGCTCCCCGCAGTCGACGTGCTCGGTCTCGCCTTGAGAAGGAAATCTCCAGGCGCGACGCGGCTTTTCTTAATTTACCCTCGGAGTATGTCGTGCGTTTGTTGAGCGTGTCGCATTGAGGCCTAGCGCGCGCGGTCTGAGGATCGGACCCAGTTTTTCTTCGGCCGCCTCTTCCTTCACCACGCACTCGCCTTCGCCTGCCAGAATCAGTCTCTAGAGCGGATGTTCTCCGCGCTAGGGCCGCGGCTGGACTCGTCCAGCTCGGTGTCCGCAGTGGTGTTCGACCGGCTGCCTGGCGCGGCGTTGTCGAGACTTCACTGCGACACGCCTCCAGCGTGCCTGCAGGCAAGCGGTCTTCCGGCCCTCCCCGCGGCGCTGGCAGCACGCCCGCGCACTCCACTGCCTCGTAGAACAGCAGGCGGGAGTGCGTGCGGTTGAGCGGCGGCGGTGCGCACACTTGTACGTCGCTGTCATTGTACGACAGCCACCGTTCGCCTTTGTCAAGGGGCACGAAAGTCATGTGGTGCCCTGACTCCTCGCTCTTGCCCAGTCGGCACACCGTTGCCCGTAGGTGAAAGTCGCGGCCTTTCAGCCGGAGGGTCAACGGCGTGTCCAGCGCGCTCTCTTGGCCGCGGGGGCGGTTGACCCGCAGGGCAAGGACTCGGCCGGGGCCGAAAGCGCGGGCGGTGCAACGTGTGCTGCTGTAGCCGCAGTTGCACGCACAGAGGTGGACGGTCTCGAAGGAGAAGGGATTCTCCTCGAGAAGGAGGTGCGTCAAGTCCACTTGCGTCAAGCGGGCGCCGGGCGGGTGGACGTCTGCCACCAGCTCGCGCTTGACGGCGCCGTGCTTCCAGGCACAACCTGGTTTGCCGCAGCGAGGCACGTAAGAGTCTTCGTGGAACGCCTCCTGCGCAAAACACTGGGCAAGAGCTGGGCGTGCTGCCAGGAGGAGCTGGAGGAACTCCCTGGCGTCGTCCTGCTCTGTGACGTGACGCCCTACGCTCTGGAGCCAGACGCCCCACAATGCGATCAGGTCGGGGGATTGGCTTGGGTGCCGGCTTGCGTTGCGGGTTGCCTTCAGCACGCAGAGCGCGCAGTGGGGAGGGCATGCGGGGCTGGAAGCGTGTCCAGTCACGACGTCGGCCGTGGCGCCGGTGGCGAAGAGTGCTTGTAGGGTCGAGGCGACCCAGCACGTCGTAGAAGTCGGGTTGGCAAACCCTGGACGGGCCTCGGGTTCGCCAGCAAGCAGACGCAGGTCGCACGCGTCAAGGAGACTTGGATCGGCTGTGTGCTTACTAGTGACTTAGCATGGTTATGATGGTTAGCTAACGACTTATAACAAGTTAGCTAAGTAGTTAACTAAGTGTTTCCTAAGTAGTTAGCTAAGCTTGAATATAGACTTTAGTCAGCACTCAAGCTGAAATATATAAGCCCGGGAAAGTTGCAAATTTCCTTAGTGAGCAGCCTTCGAAGCCTGACAAGCACATTGAGAACAATAGGAAAAGCCTATGAAGGCTGAGCCAAAAAGCCTGAAAAGGCTGACAGCCCCCCAAAGCTGAATGCCAGTGTGTAGCCTGAACAGGCTGACAGCACATGTCTCAAGCCTGAAAAGGCTGAGCCTGGCATGAGTCAACAAGACAGCAATAAGCCTGGAAAGGCTGACAGCCGATGCAAAAGCATTGCTGTTTTGCAAGTTGGCCCCGTCATGCATTTCACGGCCTGTGGGCCCAAGGCACCAGCACCCTCAGCCCATCTTTGTTGGGGCAAAAGGCGACAGGTGTCAGCAAGTCTGCTGTTTGCACCAGAACCAGCTCACCTGTTTCTTTGACCAAGGCTGAGCAAGTCTTTGCACAGTATTCCACAAGAGTAAAGGGAGAAACAATACTGTACACAATACTGCCCACTTGGAAATGTAGGGAGATGGCTGCAACCTCCCAAGCTTGGCCCTGCTGGCTGCCAGCCATGAGCACAACATCCTTTGCCTGACAAGAAGCACCAGTTCGCAGCTTGGCTTGGTTGCCCACATGGATGCAGTCATCAGGCATTCCCATGCCCAAAGTCATGCGAATGCGCAGGGCCAGCTTCTTGTTGGCAGCGCGAGGCTTCGTTAGGCACGCACCCTGCTGCCACTGCTGGCACACTGCGCTGTGCTTCAGTGAGTGCAAATCATGCGCAAGGACCTCCTCCAAGATGCTTTGCTCATAGACAGACAAATTTGTGGTGGCAGTGGCATATCGGGAGCATACTTTGTGCTTTCTTTCCAGTGACCAGCAAGAGGGCAAAACGCCATGCAGCTGCAGTGATGTTGCTAGATGCAACAGCCAGTGAAACTTTCGTGTCATGTAATTGGACCAGCCAGCTTCCTTTGTTTTTCGCAATGCAAATTCCACTTGCTTTTGAAGGACGGGGGGAGCCACTCTGTCAGAAGCTTGTAGTAGCTCCAAGACCCGATTCATGCTGAGGAATGCTTGGCATTCCAGCACATGGCTGCCCTTGGGCACGAACACATGCGCGGCCAAAAAAGCAAGAAGAGGGCATAAGCTCAGTGTTTCTGACGCGCTGCACTTGAACTTCTTGGCTTCCTTGTAGCTTTTGACCTTCTTGCTTGAAAAGAGCTCAGGCAAGGAGCCAGCCTTTTGCCAAGTAGCCGGCAAGGTCCACAGCTTCAAGTAAGTCTCCATGCTTTCCCAACCCAGTGTTGCACACAGCAGGTATATCATTACTTGCATAACCCCCTGTGAAGCCATTGCGTGCATCCAATCGTGGCACCACTGGCTGATTGGCTGCAAGACGTTCTGCAGCTGTTTGCACAAAAAAAGGGAATGCTGGTTGTGTGTGACTCCACACGCCTGCTGCCAGTCATCAAATGCTCTCTTGCTCATGGCCGTCTGGTTGGCAGCACACCTCTGGTAAGCCTGTAGCACTTCCTGGTTTGTTGCAAGCTGACATTGTGAAAGGGTACACACATCAGACCCGAGCATGTCATTCTCATCCTCAAGTTCCTCTTGAAGAGGTGCTCTGACATTTCGGCACATCACGCAAAATTTGCTTCCTGAATCTCCTTTGCAGCTGTATATGTACTTCATTGCACTGCCATCAGCCAGGAACATTCCGAATTTGAAAAACAGCCTGATGTTCTGGCAGCTCTCTCCAGACTCATGCTTCAACAGGAGGCCAAGGCGTGGCTGGGCAATTTCTTTACAGAAAAACTGCTGAAGAACCAGTGCCATGATTTGGCTCATGTTAGCCTGCACAGTGTGGGCAGTAGAAGACCTCACACACCCCAGTAAGAACCAGTTGTCTTCTGAGGCCAGGAGC